TCGGTTGGCCTTGTACAATATTTATGAGTTCGCCTGTCACAAATGAACTACAGTGAACCTGAGGAATAGCACATGTTTGGGCTTAATAGCGTTGCCAGTTTTGCAAAGTTGTCTTGTTAAATATAAATAAACATTGATTTCATCGAAAGACTAAAGAGACATAGTTGAGCTTACTTCCATTTCAGGTGAAAGTGTTGGGTGAAGAGATTCGAAGGTCGGTTCCACCAGAAGACGACGGCGAATTCCTCTTGACCAGCTGTTGGGTGAAGAGATTCGAAGGTCGGTTCCACCAGAAGACGACGGCGAATTCCTCTTGACCAGCTGTCGATTAGGTTGAGGAGATTCGAAGGTCGGTTCCACCAGAAGACGACGGCGGATTCCTCTTGACCAGCTGTCGATTGGTTTTACTGGAAGATTCATGCTGACGCGAGGATTCGAAGGTCGGTTCCACCAGAAGACGACGGCGAATTCCTCTTGACCAGCTGTCGATTGGCTTTACTGGCATTGGAGAGACAAAAGATCAACATTGTTGGGATTACTTCCATTTCGAGTGGAAGTGTTGGGTGAAGAGATTCGGAGGTCGGTTCCACCAGAAGACGACGGCGAATTCCTCTTGACCAGCTGTCGATTGGCTTTACTGGAAGATTTGTCGGTTCCACCAGAAGACGACGGCGAATTCCTCTTGACCAGCTGTCGATTGGCTTTACTGGAACATTCACGGTGACGCTATTTCCGAGAAATCGCTTGTTTCATAATTGTTGAGCTTACTTTCATTTTGAGTGGAAGTGTTGGGTGAAGAGATTCGAAGGGAGAAAAGTTGGGTTTCGAGGAATCTCTTGTTTCATAATTGATGAGCTTACTTCCATTTAGAGTGAAAGTTTGGGTGAAGAGATTCGAAGTTTGTTCCACCAGAAGACGACGGCGAATTCCTCTTGACCAGCTGTCGATTGGCTTTACTGGAAGATTCATGCTAAAGCTGTTTCAGAGGCAATCTCCTTCGATTCCGGTGAAAAGGTGCTAAGCTTTCGTCCGTCATGACGGACATCATTAGAACGAGGTAACATCGTCACTACTAAATTAAAGCTAACGAGTCAATAAAACTCACCAGAAAATCCCTAAAAAGTTGTATATATACTCTACATCTGGCCTCTTTTATCAAGTATAAGTGATTTGG